TAGGGGTGAAACTGGGTCGGGCCGGCCTACATAGGCCTACGACTCGGCCTACATTAGGCGAAACCTGACCTAATATATTTCGTAAAATAGGCCGAGTTTGGGCCTTGAAAAAACTTGTTTAATAAAAAGGCCGTAGGCCGGCTTTCACAAGGCCTAGCTTATAAGCCTACATGCCGGCCTATATTGTACTATTTATTTTAAATAAAGTAAAATAGAATAAGTATGCCTTGAAGAAAAAGAAAATATATAAATTTAATCAATTACAATTATTTATAACTTAATTATATTCAATTATATTTTAATAGAATAACTTATATATATTTCTTACGTAGGAGAAACCAACATCTCAGCATGTTAGATTGTGTATATGAATATATTAAAAGATTTTTGGGAGAAGTTATACTTACTACAAGCATCATGATGTGTTTGTTGGATTCATGTTGTTATTTTAATTTACATAGTATGGATTTATTTGTTGGATACGATGAAATATATGTTATTTAGTTTGAACATTTTGCTTTTGAAAGTGACTTAAATGCGGATTGTATGAGTTTTGTTGTGATTCATGATTCTGTTTGGACGTTGAAATTATGATTTTTGGTTTAGCAACAGAATTTGAGTATTTTTTAAAGTTGATTCATGATTATGCTTGGAAGTTAAAAATTAACAGGCTAACGGGCTAGGCCAGGCCATTTATTTTTTATAAACGGGTCAAGTCAGGATAACAATTAGACTCGTACTAGGCTTGGGCCAGACCAAATTGAATTTTTTTTAACGTAGGCTTCGGCTTTTCGGGGCAAAGTTTGGCTCAGCCCAGCCCACTTTCACCCCTAATTGGAACCTGTAATAAAGTAATTACGAGTTTAATATGTCATCTCAATTTTTTATAAAATTAAAAAACAAGTAAATTAAAATCAACGCAAATCTAAAAACTATATAAAAAATATAATACATAAAACTATGAATGTGTCTTTACAAGAGTCATGCACAATCTTATTAAACGATTTAATGTCTCTTGTGTCATAGGAGATAATATTATTTTCTACATAAATAAAAGATATGAGACCCATATTTTTATTTTATTTTTCTCTTCATATTACTCCATATGAGCCCCACGACAGAATTTTTGATACTCTTGGACCATTATTACCGGATAGTCCCCTTTACTTAAATTGAAAATTCTTATTCCATTAAAACCATTACTTTTTATTTTTATTTCCCCCTCAATCCCCAACTTCTTACCTTTTTTTAGGAGGGAGCTCCGAGCATCAAAAATTTGTTAGGCCCTATACACTTATATATATATATATATATATATAGATAATAATTTTATCTCCTAAAACATTAAAAACATAAAACTCGTTATTAAAATATAAAACAACGCTAATTAATGTATCCATATTTTGATTGACGTGTAAGAATTTTTAAAGAAAATTACTAAAATCTTAATTAAATTTTATTTTAAAAATAAACTAAATTAACTCAAATATATACTAAATAGAAAATATGCAAGTTTGTCAAGCATAAATAGTTGTAAACATAACTACACTCAAGTGCTAACTGAATCAAGAACTTACTTACTAGTGATGGTAAGGATACTCGAAAGCTATCTTTGGTGGCTAAGATTCGAGTGTGGTTACAGAGAGATTGGAGTGTGGTTTTATCTCATATCTCTAGAACTATCAACAAGCATGCTGATTGGATAGCTAAATAGGCTGCTGATGATGAGTATGATTTAAAGCTTATCTCCTCTCCTCATCCGGACCTGGCTGATCTTCTGGAGGTTGATAGGCTTGATCCTGGTTAATTAGTGTTTTGATATTTTCTGTCTGTTCTTGTTAAGTTTTTCTGTTAGTTTCCTGTTTTATTTTTTTCGTTTTCTCTGTTTTGGGGCTATGCCCCTTATATGTACAAAAAAAAAAGAGAGCTTATGGCATGATTATGTCAAGTCATATTTAATTTATAATATTCAATAAAATAACCTATTTTTAGGGTTTAAAAATAGGTTCGCTGCAGTCAATATAGATAAGTTATCTACATTGAGCTCAAAACGACGTCGTTTTGGGACGGAAATCATGGTATTTTTATAATTATAATTTATTTCAGGATTATAATAGTCTTTCTCATTATAATTTTTTAATCTTTCATCCCAAAATGACTCGTTTTGAGAGTGAATGTATATAACTTATCTACATTCACTATAGAAACATTAAAGCCTCAAAAAAATCTATTAAGAAAATGCGTCATAGACTTATTTTTATAGGCCCCGATCTACAAATTTATAGACAGCCTTATATTATATTATTTATTTTAATGAAAATAAAATAACTATTTAAATAGTTTTAATTAATAAAATAATATTATTTTTTCTTTTTCCATCCTTGATAAATATTGAAAAAATGATAACCTTAAATATGCTTAAGCCAAACTTTTTGAATTTTAAATATATATTAAGTCAAACTTAAAATATTTTAGGTAAATGTAATCCATTTAAATCAAAGTATGACCGATTGAGCCAATTTACACCTCTAATAATGACATATCACAACGAATTACTTGTTGTCTTTTTGGACTTTTTTTGAAATAAGTTACTTTTTTGTAATATAAATAAGGTTCAACTATTCAATCGATAATTGATAAATGTAAGATTTTCTGGTGAATCATACTTTTATTTATTTAATTATGCATAACATTACAATCAGTGTTTTAAAATTCGGCCTAGTGATCGATTAGATTCAGATACTAGGTTATTGGGTCATTTATTCAATCGGTGGATCATTGATTCAACCAATTTCATTATATTATATAATAAATATAGGAAAAAAATGTTTCTGCAGTTAATGCAGATAAGTTATATGCATTTATTCTCAAAACGACGTCGTTTTGGTATTGAATTCTTAAAAAATTATAAATATAAAGACTATTATAATCATGAAATAAATTAAAATTACAAAAACACTATGATTTATGCCTCAAAACGACGTCGTATTGGGCTTACTGCAGATAACTTATCTACAGTAACTGCAGAAAAAATAAACCCATAAATATATTATAAGGTGCATTTTAACCAATAATTGATTGTAGTTTAATGGTAACTGATAATACTACTCATTCCCATATGTCGAGTTTGATTTTTCACTCACCGTAAAAAATACATATCAAAGTATCATTTTTTTCTTTCACTTTTGTAACACTAATAAAGAATAACTTTTTCTCCGTGTGTGTATATATATATATATATATATATATATATATATATATATATATATATTCTCTCCATATTGGTTAAATATGATTCATAATACATTTTTGTGATAAATAATATTAATCCTACAACCAATTTTTGTTTTTAAAGATTACTAGGTATTTTTTAAATCTTTAAACGTGAAATTAATTTTAATTTGAAAGTTTGTTTATCGTTAATCTAAAGAAACTTTTAGTAGGTTTTAAACTTAAAATAAAATCGGCACATATAAAACTCAACTTGCTAATGAGACATTTTCGTTTTATGCCTGCCACTTTATTCCTTGCGTTGCTTGATCTTACATTGCACCTTTGAATCTTTCCTCTGTCTCCATTCGAGGTCGACGGGGTATCGGACTTTCAAATTTTAATTGAGAAGGCACTGAACCTCAAATTTTCGCCGCAATTGACGCCTTTAATTTCATAAACCTGTCTTTCTCGTTCCTTTCGGCGTAAGTAACAATTATTTTTTGAGTCCATATAAATAAGGTTAGTTAGTTTCGTAAGACAACTAATTCAATAAGGACAGACAAGGTTTTTCATTTTCTTTATATATATATATATATGGGTGCGTGAAAATAAAGTCTTACAATATCTACATGTTGGTTTTTATTATTGGATAATGTAATAACATTATAAAATTTATTAAATGCATTTAAAATTATTAATGTTGATGTAAATTAAACTTTAATTCCAATGTATTATTGTTAATTGAAAGTGTATCTCCTACGATATGAGATAAAAATTTTCTTGTCATCCAAAACGAGTGTTAATCCCGTTTGCTAAGTTGATTTTTTTTTTTTAATTTCAAAAGCCTTATATTGATTTTGTGCCTATGTAATAATGATTTTATGATTAAATATATTTTATCATAAGTTTATTTTCTCATTGATTTTTTTTAAATAGTTAAAATGCCTTAATGATTTTGTGCCTATTTAATATGTTTTTATGATTAAATGAGGAAATAAAATTTAAGAAAAAATTCTTTATTTAAAATTTTCAATGATAAATGTAAATATTTAAACGTAATTAAAATTATGCTTTTAGTAAATTACCCGATAAGACATTTAACTTCTAATTATAAATAGAAAAGGAAAAAAATACAAGATTTTGTCAATAAATGTCTTTATGATACTGTTTTACATAAGAGGGAGGATATTCTTACTACTAAAATTTTCTATTACTAACTTACTATCTATCTAATCACCATTGAATCAAAGAGAGAAAATGCTAAAAAGTTTTTGAAAAAAGAGAAAATATTGATCCACTGGTGATTAGATAAGTAGTGAGTTGGTAGTAGAAAATTTTGGTAGTAAGAATATCCCTCTTCATAAAAAAAAGTATTTAATCTATTACAAAATATAAAAGTATTTAATATTATTTGAATAATTAGAAATATTTAATATAAACTCTGTCATATGGACATGGCAAATAATTTTAACTACCTCTTTTTCCAGTTTCCACAGATGGCGACCCCACATGTACGTACCCAGAGACCAGAGTGACAGGGACTCGTGTGGTTGTGGTTATTGTACTGCTACTCCCACTCCAGCGGCCAGCGTCTTGTTTAAGTTTAACTTTAATCACCACGCCGGCACGCCCCAACTGTTTTTTATTTTTTTATTTTTATTTTTATTTTTCTGTCATTTCGTTCATCATTGAGAAATATATAGTAAGTTAGTAACTGCTTATTTTTTTTTTAAAATGAAGTTTCCTTTCAACACTGTCACACTTACCCTATAAACAAGGACAGAATCTTTACTTGCTTCAACGCAATTTGAAAGCCAATAATATCCTACACTTCACTAACATTCAAGAGCAAGCAAGTCAGGGAGTAGGAATTAGTGGGAAGAGATTAAACAGAATGATGAAGCATGGGTTCTTTCTTGTTTTCTTAGTTCTCTATGTTACACTAGCACTCCACGTGGAAGCTGATGCAGGGTTTGTGAAAGCAAGAGGAATGCAACTTATGCTGAACGGAAGCCCCTACTATGCTAATGGTTTTAATGCCTATTGGCTAATGTATGTTGCAGCTGATCCATCTCAGAGAAACAAGGTTTCATCGGTGTTTCAAGAGGCTACAAATCATGGACTTAACATAGCCAGGACTTGGGCTTTCAGCGATGGTGGATATAAACCCTTACAATACTCTCCTGGATCCTACAATGAGGAAATGTTTCAGGTTAATATACTCTTCAATCTTGATCTCCATTTTTTTCAATCTTATATTTATTAATTTTGTAGAGCAACGCCTTGAATTGTTTATTTACATCATTTTGTACACTTGTTGTACTCGTAATTGTTGGTGTTCTTTTCCATTTGTTTACTCTCTGTTTTCTTGGATTAAAAATAAAAGGGGTTGGACTTCGCAATAAGTGAAGCTAGAAAATATGGGATCAAGCTGGTGTTGAGTTTGGTGAACAACTATGAGAACTTAGGAGGAAAGAAACAATATGTCGACTGGGGAAGGAGTCAGGGCCAGTCCATAATTTCTGAAGACGATTTCTTCACAAATCCTGTGGTAAAGGGATACTACAAAAACCACATCAAGGTAAACACTTGTTTTCTCTTTATTTTCTTTTTCCTATTTTCATTAATATTATCCTTGTTGACAGAAGAATAAAAGGGTATACTCAGCGGGATAGGATGGGTGAGGATCTAGATAGAAGGTTATATAGATTTGATGAATTTTTATGTCAGGTAAGGAACCAAAAAAACAAAATAATTTATTATGAAATAAGAGGTTTCTACGATCCTTTTTACAACAACCGATTATAACCATGTATTTTTTAGAATATTTAGTTATATTTTAAAGTTTTTTTTTTATCTTCAAAAGTTATCTGATGGCTTGAGAAAAAAGAAAAAAATAATTTTACGATTATAACTATATATTTCTGAAAATGCATAATTATAATCAGTTGTCGCAAAAAATATTTTTTTTTGAGATTTTCCTTCTTATATAGTTATATTCCCCTGAAAGTGTTATTGATAAGGAATTTTTTTTTTGTTACTTTTAAAAAGATAGTGCATGAAAAAAAAGGTGTAATTTAAAATAAAAAAATGTAAATATAAATAACGCTAACATGATGGGGGCAGGTGAGTTGTAATTATCCCTATCAATAATGTACAAGGGTGAATAAATCAATAACGAAAAGGCAAAAGAAGAAAATTAGTGGAAGACAAATTCCTCTCGTGAAAGGACATATTGCTGTCCCAAAGATTCTGCCTCTGATCACGCCCTGGCTGGTCAAATGTTAGATTAACCTAACCTAACCAGTTATCGCTGTTTAACTTGCTCTAAGCTTAAATGGTCCTGCTTAATGTCATACCAAAAATAAATGTACCTAGCTAACATCTTTTGCAGAATAATTGTTCCCACCTAAAAGGTGTCATGGATGACACCTATAGATCGAGTTCAGGGTAGTTTCAAAAAGTAAATAACAAATATAACATTATAGTTTTTATCTACATTGTTATAGACTGTACTTACAAGACTTAACACCCTCACTGGAGTTGCTTACAAAGACGACCCAACTATAATGGCTTGGGAGCTTATGAATGAGATTAGGTGCCCTTCAGATCAATCAGGAAAGGCCGTTCAGGTAAACTATTCTTTGGCTACTCAATTTTGTTTATGTGCATGCGATTTAAAGCACTATTCCGATACAATTAAATCTAGAGACTTTTTTTTGTATAATGCATTTATGTTTGTTCAATTAAAAATGGACCATGACTTTGTGACTAAGCACTAATTAATAAGTGGTAATGCTTACAGAAAAAATGGATCATGACTTTTTAACTAAGCATTAATAAGTGGAAACAAATTAACAGAACGTGTGAATCCAACTTTATGAGTCGTGACGACAGACGAGACTTCAATTTTCAAAATGCATATAAATTTGTTTTAAACATAGGAAGAGATCAATTCAAGTAGTTTTTCACTTTTGACAGGCTTGGATTACTGAGATGGCATCTTACTTGAAATCCATAGATGGAAACCATTTGCTGGAAGCTGGTCTGGAGGGTTTCTACGGGCAGTCAAAGCAAGAGTCTAATCCTAACTTCCAAGTAGGAACAGATTTCATTGCAAACAACCAAATACCTGGCATCGATTTTGCAACAGTCCACTCGTATCCGGATCAATGGTGTGAATTTTTATTTCAATTCTTTATTCTTTATAAATTCAGAATGATGGGATTGAAATCATCCATATGAGTGTAGGATGAACTTCAAAAAGTAAAATATAAATAACAACTTTTGAAGAAAAAAACTTGTTCATTAAATCACATTCATAATTTGTTACTCATATACTATTATTTTATCAAAATGTAAATCATTACTTCTTTTTGTTAAAAAAAAATTGCACTTATATATTGCCACTTGAAATCGGTCGGGTCCATATAGGTATAGTTCTCTTAAGATATCTTCTCCATTTTTAGTTGTCTAATATGAATATGACAACATTCGAACCGAATTAAATCGAATAAAGTGTTACATTATGTCAAATTGTTTAACATTTCTCTTCTTACCTTTATCGTTAAAAGTTTTAATAAGATTTTGCTCGTCGTGATAATGGTGAATTGGTTTGTTTACTTTCCATGAGCAGGCTACAAAGTTCAAGTTATGAAGACCAAATCTCTTTCTTAGGTCGGTGGCTCAATGAGCACATCCAAGATGCACAGAACACTCTTCACAAGCCACTTCTATTTGCGGAGTTTGGGATTTCCACAAAAAAATTTGGTACTAACTCAACCCCAAGGGATCGGTTTTTCAATACTGTATATTCAGCAATATATTCTTCAGCAAGTGGTGGCGGAGCTGCTGTTGGTGGCTTATTTTGGCAACTTCTAGCTGAAGGAATGGATTCTTTTCGAGATGGTTACGAGGTGGTCTTAAGTGAGAGCCCCTCAACAACTACTTTGATTGCTCAACAATCTCAAAAGCTAAACCGAATTCGGAAGATGTATGCAAGGCTGAGAAACATTGACAAGTGGAACAAAGCAAAGGAAATTAGAAGCTCAGAGTGGCATGCTGGTGCTGACAGCAGAAACTGAGATAAGTTTTCAGAATGAAGTGTCCCTATACTAAAGCAGAGTTCTAATAATCCCACAAGGCAGAATGGTCCATTTCCGTTATGGTGTTACAATTGAAGTGTTCTACAAATGCCATAATCTTATATAGGTATAATTCTCATCAGCATATGATGGCTGATAGAAAGAAACCATAGCTATTATTTATTCAGAAACTAATGAGTTCTTATATAGAAAGTAACTTGTAATATACAAGCATGTATTTCATCTTCCTACATGTTGGTGAGTTAATTATGATTTATCTAAACTATAAAGTGACCCGCTGGATAATGTTAAGTGCTTCATATAACTTTTCCATCTTTAATTGTAGCATTCTTCAGTATAACCGTGATGCCTGCCCTAATGTAGAATCCTTCCTTGGGCCTATCCGCTTCTTGCACACCCTGAGAAGTCAATGTGTTTAAATCAACAGAGAAGTCTAGTCAATAATTACCAATAGTAAAAAAAATAAAGTATTCTGCAGTTTCTGAAAGCAAGATTTTGAAACTGCACTTACATCGGCATTTGCAATAATCACATTTCTTCCTATCTTGGCATTCTTGTCGATTATACAATTCCTTAAAAAATGTTGGGAGTACGAAATTAGCAAAAATAAGAAATGGAGGTCGCCAATTAATTTTGATGTTATGGCATGTAAATTGGTAACCATAGCTTGGACTGTTACTTGTTTGTTCATCTAGAATATGAGGGAATTCCACATGAATCCAAATAGTTTATATGACATAATCGAACCTGATTTTGGTATTTTCTCCAACACCAATAGGAACCTTTCCTTCTGCCAGCAAAGATGCAATTTCAGACTCAGTTTGATAGTAGTCAGCACCCATCATCATGGTATCCTGGATTGCAAAGCCCATAAAGGCACAAAACATTTATCACGGTTGCTCCAAAACAGAAGGCGTCAACTCAAGCATCCAGTATTACATGCCAGCAACATGTCTGTCAGGAAAGGTATCTAGAGGTAATCTTCCTGTAAAGAACCTTGAGATACACCATCCCAAAAGCTAGCTCAAAGGGTAGGAGTGCCCAAGACCTTATAAATTCCACACAACCAATGTGGGACTATATCTCAACACGCCTCCTCACACGAGAGCCCACTGAGCTTGAAGGGTGGACAACATACAAGCCCACCTACATGAGGAAATTCCACTACAAAGAAAGTGGGAGGCGGTGAGATTACTATATATCTCAACACGCCCCCTCACACGAGAGCTCATTGGGCTAGAAGCGTGGATATTGCACAAGCCCAATTTTCGTGTACCTTTTGTGCTTTTTTATTTTAATTCCACTTTAAATTGGGAGGCGGTGAGGATCGAACGTGTGACCCTATAGTCACTCGAGCTCTGATACCATGTAACTCAACCAATGTGAGACTATATATCTCAACACGCCCCCTCACACGAGAGCCCACTGGGCTTGAAGGGTGGACAACATACAAGCCCACCTACATGAGGAAATTCCACTACAAAGAAAGTGGGAGGCGGTGAGATTTCGAACGCTCTGATACCATGTAAAGAACCTTGGGATACACCACCCCAAAAGCTAGCTCAAAGGGTGGGAGTGCCCAAGGCCTTATAAACTCCACATTAGTTGCACATACAACCAATGTGGGACTATATATCTCAACACTTCCTATAAATTGTTTCAGAGTTGAACAAGCACTCTGATCTTGACTGATATGTTTTGTCCTCCTAAGCATTCTACTAACTTTTAAGAAACACTAAAAATTAATTCCTACGAATTGGCAAAAGAAATAGGAAGACGAATAACTGAGAAAGTTGACATGTTCATGTACTCAACTCCTGAAAAAAAAAATCCGAGGTTATGGATAAATGTGTGCAAAATGCATTTTTCCCCTTCCCCACCAATTTTGGGTAGTACAATTCATGTAGAACACAAATTTTCAAGGGTCATCATGTAACCCCACCCCATTTCCCCCCAAAAAAGTGATAACCATAGGAAAGTGCAAAATGTTTTACCTGAAGCTCCACACCGGACTCTAAACGTGAGCGTACCCCAACAATAGAATGTTGAACACTACACTCCCTCAGGAAGCAACCGTGAGAAATAATTGCATCCACAATCTATGAAACCAACCAATCATTCAAACAGTAACGTCAACAACAGAAACCAATCAAGCACTCATATTCAGCACAAATTCCATAAAGCAACCAGGTAAAAGCTGGCTGTCATACCTTGCATTTTTCTACTTTAGTGGGTGGTAGGAATCTTGGGGAAGTGAAGAAAGGTGTCTTTGGATCATAGAATTCAAATTTTGGAGGCTGCAAGTAATATATGTATGTGATCAGTAAATTTACTACATTTTTTCTTGTAAATGAAATTTTATTCCATAGTAAAATCTCTTTTTCCCAATAGCATTATCAAGTCGGTTATCAACAAAAACTTGAGTACTAAATTAAGGCCTCTAAACCGTGAAAGGTTCCCAAGTTCTGCAGCAATATGTGATGCTTTTCCTCATAAGTGAATATTTTCATTTGTTTTAAAAATTGAAATATGACCAACTGTGGTTTCTGGAGTTTATAATTACCCACCCATTGGCATGTAGTTGAACTTCTTACCATGCAAAACCATCCAAATTGGCTGAATACCAAAATAGTTACTGAGACTAATCATTAGAAATATGAACCAAAATAAAACTACAATGTAGTTAAGCAAACCTGTTCTGTTAGGGCCAGATTTGCATCAAAGAAGGACTTAATAGTTCCAATATCTTCCCAGTAGTCATTGAACAAATATGCCTGAGAATGCAAATTGAAGCAGAAACATAAAGTTAGTCACAGCTAAACCTTAAAAAAAAAAAAAAAAACATTAGCATTCAAAGATTTTAAAAAAGAATAGCAGTAATAATCTTCCCTCTCACCTGGACATTGTGCTCGCTCACAGCAGATGGGATAATTTCAGATCCAAAGTCATTGCAGGAAGAATAGCTCCATCTTAATAGTTTCAGCAGGGTCTCAGTTCTAAACACGTAGACACCCATGGATGCAATATAAGGATGTTCCTTTGCTTCTTCTGGAGATAATCCAAGGAGAGTTGTGTCAACATGCTGCAGTTATTGACGATGCATTAGCTAGACAACAACTAGATTAAATTGACTCCCAACTTTCAGGTAAAAGGATGTAAGAAAGATCGAACTTGAGATACTATTTATATACCATTGCTTTCAGATATGATCCCTTAGGTTTTTCTGCAAACTGTATAACCCGTCCTGTTTTATCAATTTTCATCAGCCCATAGTCCGATGCACGGCTACAAGACAGTTAATAGTGATCAACTCCATTCAATATATAACCAAAAATAAAATGTTATCATTGTTAGTGAAAGCTTTGCCTCTTGCAAATGAGGTGGTATGCCTTCATTGTAAGAAATCAATCAACAAAACCAAATCCTTTCAGTAGATAAGTACCTGTCATCCATGGGTACACATGAAACTGTGATATCAGCATTTGTGTCAATGTGTTTCTGCAATGACAGTCCCCATCAAAATCACCATTAGTTAACGATACTAGTTGTAGTCTTAGATGAGAAATAATATTATTTGTACCTGTACAAAGTCCATATAGTCCATTCGGTAAAGATGATCGCCAGAAAGTATCAATATATTCTCAACATTCTTGTTCTTAGCATCCTGCATGATAATCCAGACACACACATTCACTCTACTCCATATCAAACAAGTAATTTCAGCAAATACCCAACATCATAAGTTTTTACCTCAAAAACCCATATAAATTGCCTCACAGCATCAGCTGTCCCTTGGAACCATTTCTTCCCTGCTTCTCCAGGTGTTTGAGTGGCAGCCAAGACCTGTTCGCATGTAAATTATGATTCAATATTATAATCACCATGCTTTCATGTTTAATAAATTTCTTCAAATTTGATGATAAATCTCGCTTCCTTTACAATATTACCAGTAACTCACCTCAACAAAACCGTCTCCAAAATTCATGCCATTACCAAAATTGTATGTGCGAGACAGGTGGCGGTTAAGGGAGAAAGAGTTGAACTGTGTTAGAATGAATATTTTTCTGATGCCACTGTTGATGCAATTGCTCATCGGGATATCTATGAGTCTATAACACCCTCCTATTGGAACCTGCGAATTTCATTCAAATACAAAAACTTTACATGAAGGAGGATTTGCAAATCATCAGAAAACCACTCCTATCATTTTTAGCAACAAACATAGAAACTCACAAGAGAATTATATATACCGCGGGCTTGGCTCTTCTGCTAGTAAGAGGAAAGAGACGAGTTCCAGCACCACCACTCAATATGATTGAAGCTACACTTTTTGGGTCTGCTTTGGGAGTCTCAAAAGTGGGTACCTCCTGGAATGCCTGAAAGAAGCACTTCAGTTAAGCATCGGAATTGAATGCAAAAAAACCAAGCGATTTTCTTTCTTTCTTTCATTATACCATCATGGACTCTTCGTTGATGTCTGATGTGAGAACAGCGTGTGCAATTCCAGTTCCAGGCTTCAAGTTTCTAAGGTTGCTATGGGTTTGTGAAGTCTTGCATAATTTAATGCTCAATACTCTTCTTGTGTTTAAACTCTCACCGAGAAACCCACTTCCTCTGTTCCTTCCAACTCCCTTGCTAACTTTAACTAGATTGGCACTCAGGGCAGCACAAGTTGAATCCATAGCTGAATGAATCAAAAACCTCTTTTCAGTATCTGTGCTCAGTGGAACTGACTCTGGTGAGTCTATGTTGCATAAATGAAGAGCTAAACCACTTTCATAAAATTCCAAACTTTTCCCAAAAGTTGAGGAATCAAAATTAGGAGGAAGATTCAAATCAACTTGGCCCTCAAAAGATCAAGCTTTTCATAGCACCCAGTTCTCAGTTTGGGACTTGGTTGAAGAAAATCGAAGCTGGTATTGGGAGGGTAGAATGAAATGTAGTAGTGTAGGTTGATTGTGCATAAAGGGAAGAATGCGTTGAACTGAAATGACATTTCTTGGCATGCGAGCGAGACTGAAGACTCACAAGAAAACAGTGAAATCTCTCTGTCACTGAGTCAGCAATGGCTACAAATTTCTATGACTGAAGATGACACTGACACTTCCTCCCATTTTGACGTTTTTTTTCTTTTTTCACAAGAATTTTTTTCTGGAGGAAAAAAATATTTCTTTTTATTTATTAAATATTAAATTATAGTAATATTTATATTTTGGATAAAGTGTATGTAATTTTAAAGGATGTAAAGTTCTGTCATTTTAAGAGAGAGAAAGAAATAGATAAGGGAGGAGAGAGTTGACAAAAAAATAAAGGCGTGGGTCTCACTTCTTTGCGAGAGTGAAAGAATATAAATTATGTCATTTAAATAAACATTTTTTCTTTATATTTTATGTCCTTTTAACAGATTTTTTAAAAAGCCTAATCCACGTAATAAAGAAAGAATATAAAAAGAAACTTAATTATTTCAACTCAAAACACGAGATCTCCCTAATAGATCAACAAGCAACAATATTTGAATGTCATATAGTCTTTCTGTCTCTCATAGTCTAATATGAAATTCATCAACCGAGTTACTCTCCCTCAAAGTATGTCTGAAAATCACAGAGCAATTTTTTTCACTCCATGTTCGTATGCAAGAAATCAAATGATTCTCAGGGACTGCTGCACCATTTCTAATGAGCATAGTGATCACACTTTCAATAATAATGTTACTATATATTACAAGCCATCTTCAACCCTCCTAAGAACATCTCATAATTCTACTTTGAACTATGCATTCCCAAAAATGCATAGTTTATTTTCTAATTCAGTTGACAGTTTTTAAAAATAGAGAAAAAAAAAATACAATTTTAATATTATAATTATATATTTTAAAAAATTTATAATTAAAACTACTAAAATGACCTCACTTGTGTCTTTTAAAGACACTTACTAAACCCTTATTTTTTTTACTTTTTTTGGTAATCACTAAACCCTTATTTAAATCCTTATAAAACATTCATTCATGTCTCTCTGTTAATTGTTTACCCATAAATCATTTACTGAGGAAAAAAGTCTATAGGTTGTTTCAAATAATAAGACAATTCGCTATTATGAAAACAACATGCATTCAGATCCTCTCTGATCTCATCGAAGAATTTTATTTTAATTTAATTTTGTAAACGTATCAAAGTATATAATTAATTTTGATGTATTATTAAATATTTTTTTATATTATTACCCAGATAATATAAAGGAATGGTTGCTACTTTTTCAAATTCAAACCATGAAATGATGAAAATTGAAAGAAAAAAAAGAGAGGCAACGGAACATGTGCAGTTTGAGACTTCATGTTGCTGTCATCCGTGGATCTATCAAATTCAAATGACATAAAGCATGATATATCCTCTAACGTAATTTGCCAACTAGAGATATGACAAAATAATATCATTAATGTAAATTTTAAAAAAATAAAATCAACTACAATAGATTTGAAATTATTTTCTGAAATAATGGAATGAGTTATACATGGAAGGAATATGCAACCAATTGCACATAAGGGAAAAATACAATTGTCATGTAACGCAATCACGGGAGTTACTTACACATTTTATGTGCAACTTATAACATGCACAATCCTTATCAATGAATTTTTTTTTTAAATTTATAAAATTATATTTATTATCAATAATCATGATTTGATAATCAAATTTTTCTATTTTTATGAAATAATTCAAATTATTTTCATCAAAAACAAAAAATAATTTAAATTGTCATTTATTCAATATTTATTATGTTAATTATTGTTTGACTATATGAATAATGATAATACTAATTAATATTTACGGGGAATAAAGAAATACAAGTGTGCATTATAATAAAATTTGGGAGAGACATTTAGGATTATGTTACTGGCACAATCCCATAAGTTACACATAAGATATGTGCACAATTCACCTGGTTGCGTCACATTGAAGTTGCGCACACTACTTGTTGCATATCCCTCCCATACATAAATGATTATATTACTTTAGAATATAATTTTAAATTTATATTATTTGAGCAATTTGTTTTTAAATTTACATCAATTAAATCTTCTTCCCATCAATCGGACCTTGGTTCTGCTTGTCACTTATCTTTATTCCGTTCTTCTTTCAGTGCATCATGGTCTAGAATAAATATTATTTCAAGTTATTGTATGTGGTTCAAATATTAATATTAAGTAAAATATAATTTATACTTTGAGAAGGGATATATTTATAAATTAAATTGTTTACAAACTCTTATAATCAAATTTTAACAATTGATTTCTGTCAATCTAACGGTTATAATTTATTGAGAATTACTAATTAATTAATAAATATGACCCAATAAATTATAACCATTAGATTGATGAAAATCAACAACTAAAATTTGGTCGTAAGAGTTTGTAAATAATTTAGTTTGTAACTATTTTCTTATATTTTTATATATTTGTATTCTTTTAAAGTATATTCTCAGTCATCAAGTTTGAATAACTCGCAAAGAAAGTTTAAATTTCTTTCTTAAAAAAATTGTCCAAAGTTTAAAATAGTAGAATCGAAGAATTGTTCAGTGAAAATAATTAAGCGAAAAAAAAAGTATATCACAAACATCACCGATTTAATTGTAAATATAATAATAAGGGACACAACAAACATATATTAATATAAAAATAATGAATTTTACACTAATTTTAGATATTAATTTTATTTGCATCTAACAATTCACATAATTAATAAATTATAATTTTTAAATGCAAAAGGAATTATAACTAATACTGTAAGTCTATAATTCTATTAGTGTAAATAGATCATTCACCAAATCTCTTAGACTGTATCTTTCGTAATTTCCTGGATCGTATTAGTCGACAGATGACAACATATTGTTTAACAACTGATTATTACATCAGTGAAAGTTGATTCTACTCTATATTTAAGTTTGATAAATTTCCACCGATATACTAAGGAATTCAATGCCATTACGCCATATGTCGAAATCTTAATCCTGAATTGCCAACAAAATTCAGATCCAAGCAAACTCAGGAAAATTCCATGCCGTTAAACTATTAACATTTTTTTTTTTACTATTCCTTATTAACGTTTATGAGAGATTGCAGCAATAGAGTATTATCTAAAAGGTCCAACTCCAAAGAAGAAGAAGGAGAAAAAAAAAATGAAAGGGAATAGAAATCTTCGATTAAGGGGTGTTAAACTTCAATTGAAAATTTGTTAGCATATATGATAATAGAAAAAAATGTTTATCCTTTTAAATGACACAACTTATATCTTTTCACTCTCACAAAAAGATGGGACTCACGTCTTTATTTTTTTTGTCAACTCTCTCTCCTCTTTTATTTATCTCTTTCTCTCTCTTAAAATAACATAATTTTACGTCTTTTAAAATGACACATTTTTTCCATGATAATAACCAAAGTAAGTAAGAGTGACATCAAGTTAAAGGATTTATAATTGTTTTTTGGTCATGGGCCCATGGCCACAGGAATTTGCCATAAGGTTTGAGGATTGGGCTATTGTATATGAATGAGCTAGACTACTCAGCGAGCTGAGCAAAGCTTATTGGGTTCAACCATTAAACTTAGTGGGGTTTTCTATTGACATGGGTGAAAACTTTCAAACGTTGCCTTTTTCAAAAAGGAAAGATGGATCGATCACATGACACTTTTCTAGCATCTTTTGTGGGATTCATGATTTTACTTGATTGATACAAGCGAATAAATGTTTGGTACTACTGATGCTGTATTAAAGATTCAGTGTATCTCACTAATAAAAATATTACATGTCAGTTAAAATTCTTTTTTTTTTCTGTCAAATTTTTTCTTTCCTCTGATGTGTAATGCTATCATTAATGAGATGCACTGAATCTAAGTACAACAATAATACCAAAGATTTATTGGATACAAGGATATTCATATTTCCATAGTCCCTCAAGTAAAGCTCAATCAAATTTATATCAATTTCCTAGGGGTGTAATCTTCTGACAGAAAATTCATTTTTGCCAATTGTCATGCTTTGGTAGTCTTACACTAGGATGGATTGTCATATCCGAATAAATCTTTGGTACTACTGTTGTACCAAAGATTCAGTACATCCTACCAATGAAAATATAATATGTCAGTTAAAATTCTTTATTTTCTGTCAAATTTTTTCTCTTTCCTCTGATGTGTAATGTTCTCATTGATGGGATACACTGAATTTAGGTACAGCAGTAGTACCAAAGATTTATTCGTCCTATCGTATCTCTAATAACTGTATTTAATATATAATATCCACTAACAAACATTTCAGATATTGTACTCCATTTTAAATTTAGTTAAGAAATTTATACAATGATTAATTAATATCCTAAATATAATATAAAAGATAAATAATTTAAAATTATATACATGATTAATTAAAAATTGAATTTGAAATTAAAATAATTATGAATTGTATGTGTCATTCTTTAAGAGAAAGTAGATTAAAATATTAAACTACTTTTAAGATTATATAATATAATTTAATACATAGGAGTAGTAGATTTGAGAAGAAAAAGTAAAATTTAATGTAAAAAATTAAAAGGAATTAATTTAACAGTATCGGATGAGTTTTTTAGGAGAAAATATTGAAGTTAATTATTTTGAGAGTATAAGTAATTAAGATTTGGAAAGACAAGTAAAAAAAAGTAATGTAAAAAAAGTAATTTGATAATTTTAAAAAAAAATATAAAAAAAAACACACTAAGCAGTGATAAAATCACATGTCGTAGGGACTTAAGGAGAAGGAAGATTTTATAAGAGATTATCTTACTAAAAAAATGAGGATTTGATTTTATTATAAAAATGTAAATTGCTTTTTTTAATGGGCATCGAAAGAAGGTAATATTTCTTTGTGTTCTTGCATTATAACATTAATACCTTGAATTAGAGGTTA